AAAGGAAAACAAGAAAGGGAGGAGGTACAACAAGCCAGCTAGATGGAAACTCTGGCCGCCACCAGACCTATGAGGCTTTGTTCCTTGTGTCTTATGGGTGCTGGGATCACCCCCCCCCCCCCAGGCAGACAGGAAGGCAGAGCCAGCAAGGTGTCACAGCAGCCCCTTCCCTGGAGCTGGTGTTGCTGGGTGCCACTCTTGGGGGGGCTAATGCTTCCTCCACTAGCTTCTGGGCCTGATATTCTTTCTGGGACTCTTCTTATAGCCTCAGACTCAGATGACAGTAAAGCACTGTAGATAGTTAGGGCATTGCTCGGTCTATCCTTGTATGTTTTTTAAGGAAAGTAAGGTAAGACAGGATTTGAAAAGATGATGGGGGAACTGAGCCATAATTCCCGTAAACATAAAATATGTTCTTACAGCCCTCTGTCCTGCTTCTTCTCAGGCCCAGTTTATTTTGAGTTCTCATGAGCAAAATGCAAGATACAAACTGCCCTTACCTCTGTAATAATAAATAGCTCCCAGAAAGATCTGCATTTCCCTAAAAACAAGGTTAGTCATATATATTTAGTTGAATCCAGATTGATTTTTAAAATAATATCCCCCAAAGACCAAAATGTTTGTCATTTTGTTCTGTCTCTCCTGGGCTCCTTGAACCTTTTCCAGGGGAAGGGGTGGGCATGAAGGAAGAGCGATTGGAGACATAGACACCAGAAAATTCTTGGAAGCCGGTTCTGTCTGCCTAGCTGGAAGAGACGCAGTGGCCAAAGGCTACCCGTAGGTACAACATCCAACAAAGACCTTGGACAGAATCACAAACATTCCCCCAAGTTGGCTGCTCCCTTGCCAGCCTGGGGAAGACTGTGAGCAGCGAGGCCCCTGGCCTCAGAAAAGGGCGTTTGGGAAGCAAACCCACGCCAAGATTGCTCCCTTGGGCTCCCGGAGCCAAATCTTAGCTACTGGGGCTCTTGGAGTGTTTGGAACATGTGCCCTTTGGGAAGACTGATGCAGTGAGCACAGCCCAGGGTGGGTCCCAACAGCTTAGCCCCCTTTCATGACCATTTCTCCTCCAGCACTACCACTGCCATCACCCCCACCCGCACCACCATGCTCAGAAGGCGCAGACCGCCAAACTGGAAGCAAACTTGACAAGGCCTCTTTGCTTCAGCTTCCCAAAGCAGCAGGCTAACCCAGCCCCCTGCCAGCCCAGGAGCAAAAGGTGCCAAAGAGAACGTGAAGAGAAAAGAGTAGCTGCCTTTGGTGCTGTTCCAAGGAGGCTCCCAGCCCAGCTGGCCTCTCTGAGGCAGTAACTGCACTGAAGGACACCAGAGCCTCTTACCCACCCACCCAACCCCCCATTTGCTGTCTCTAGTCTACCTGAGGCTGAGCCTCGGGTTGGGCTTTCCGGGATTCCTGACCTTAGTCCCTTAAGCTGCATGAACAAACGCATAATGGCACTGTCAGCTGAGACTGATGTTCAGCCTAACATCTTTTTTGGCCTTTTCTGGTACCATCTTGTCCATCTCTTTTATAACTTACCGTGCAATCTGGCACCATGAACAGAAGCACCCACTTTTTGATGCTTATTTCAGAGGAAAAGGCAGGAGAAAGGATAGAAGAGGCAAGTTCTGAAGTCTTCACTACTGAGGCCAGTCCTGGTGGACAGATCATCACACTCCCCAATTCAGCCCTCTGCTCTCAATGCCTAAAGCCTCTGGAGCTGAAAGCAACCTACCAACTACATTCCCTGAATTTTTATCTACTCCCAGCCTGGGTGCAACCATCTTACTTTGTCTATCTGCTCCCAAGGCCTAGATGTGATTTTGTAAACAGACTTTTTTTTTTTTTTGAACTGTATCAAATGTCAGAGGATTGAACTACCAGTATTTACACATTCAGGGTTTGCCTCCCCAGTGAAAATGTAAACACAAGCTGACTGCACTACCTATATTCTTCCTTTGAAGAACAAGGTCTTAAAAAGACTCTCCTTGTACTCAAAACTGCAGACCCACCCAAGTTGAGGGTTGGAAGCTCTAGGTGACTGCTTTGTGCTAAGCCCAAATGCAAAATCCTGGTACTTACCTTCCAGAGACATCTGGCTTCAGCCACTCCCCAGCCACTGCGTCTCTGCATTTAGGCCCTGCTGGGGAGGTCCAGGGAAGTCAGGCTCTGGGATGGGGCAGGGAATGGGCCCTGCCTGGGTTTCTACAGCCTCTCTGAGCTCTTCCTCTCTCCTATCTGTCTAGCTGCTGCACTCCTAAAAGAGACTCTCAAGCTGCTGCCCCCAGGTTCTGGGGAAAAAAGGCTGGTAGGACTCCCAGCCCAGCCCCTGGAGGAGGCAAGGCCGTTAGGCACCTCCAAATGCACCATCCACTGCATCTGACCTGGCCTTTCATCCCCAAATCACATCCACCACAGCCTCCGCCCCCCAAGTGCCCAGTAGAAAGGAAATGTCTGTCCTCCCCAAGTCCTGGGGTTGAGGCTCCCTTTGCTTGCAGCCTGGGGCATGAAGCTGTCTCCAAAGGACTCGCCCAAGGTGCAGTGTGGGGGCTCCCCTGGTCGACTTTGGCCAGGCCCAGCGTCAGGTCCCAGGCAGATCATGGACCAGACCGCTTCTGAACAGTCAGCCTCCGGCTCTCTCTAATTTACAGCCCGCGGGCTGCTGTTGACACCGGTTTCCAGACCGAACTCCAACCGATCGAATCTTCATCTACACACCAGGCTTCTCCGTGCAGCTCTTGGCCAGGCCCTGGGGGCAATTCCAGCTCCTGCCAAAGTCCACCCCCACCCGCAATCTCTTGCGAGGCTCCTCAGACGCTCACGCCGCGCGGGCGCCTTAGCCCTGGTGCCCTGCGGCCCAGTGACTTACCAGTGGAGATCCATTTTCCGTTATAATGCGTTCAAGATCACCGAGGCCAGCAGTGTAAACATCCACGAGCCGTCCTCCGGGCCTGCCTCTTAAACTGGTGTTTAATGGTTCCCCTCCGATAACTAAACCTGCTTTCCACAGATGCCCGCTTTTATGGGAGAGGCAGGAATGCAGAGATATATTTATATGTTTGTTCATAAAAACGGGAAAATAAGCTCTGAACACGCTATAAAAAATATTCAGTTACTTACCAAACAGGCTAGTTAAACCAGGGAACACCGATACCCGCCACACCACAAATTCGGGGAATCGAGGTGCCTGAGCTTTGAAATCGCCGAAAGCTTTAGTTGAGGCCGGGGTTCCTGGAGAAGGGGGAAATGAGAGCGCTTACATCTCGGGCGTCTCAGCCACGACCTCCCAAAGCAGCCACAAAACCTCGAGGACCCAGGACGGCCCGGCGCGGGCCCCTGGGTGGGTAAGCGGAGGAACAGCTGCCGGGCGTTCGCCACCAGCGCCCGGCCAGGCCAGCCCAGCCCGCGCCCGCCGGGAGGTGCCGCGGGCTCGCAGCCTCCCCTTTGTGGGGACGCCCCGCCACCCGCCACCTCTGCTTTGGCCAGACACGCACCTCCAGGGGCTGCCTGGCCTCGTTACCTCCAAAGCACTTCCAAAAGCACCCAAAAAAGCGGTCCGTTTTTATTTTTAAACAAGAAAAAAAAAAAAGCGGAGTATACTGTACCTGGCTGGAGATTCTTCAAGATTTGAGATGGGGGGGGGGGATTTTAATAGTGAAGCATCTGTTAAACACTTGCATTAACCTCTGGCTGATAAAAAGTTTTTTTAACCCTGCCCCCCCTTCATTTTAATTATCTTATGGTTATGAAGGGGCAGCCAATCCGGGAAGAGGACCTCGGCAATTAGCGACCAGAACATCAAAAAGTTTTATTGCGGAGAGCGCGAGGCACCGCCCCCGCCGCCCCGGGATTGGCGTGGGGCGCCTCTGACGACATATATTAACCCGAGCGGCCCTAAAGATGTAGCTGTACATGGAGATCTTGCTGGGAAAACCCGCTCGCTCCCCGCCCGGCGACCAGCTCAGGAGCGCCGCCGCCGCCGCCCCGGAGCGCGTGCCCGTGGGCAGCCACGAGGCCGGGCGGTTCCCGTTCTCGGGAGCGCGCAGGAGGCCAAGGATCCGCCCTCTCAGCAGCTGCCGTGTCGCCTCTGCTGGCCTGGCCCCGCGGGATCCCCTGCGCCCTTGCTTGGGCTCCTGCATCTTTGCCGGACTCCCTGTCTCCATCATGAACCCCCGGATCATTCTCAAGGTGGTGTGGGGCTTTGCTCACGCTGATGTCATTGTTTCCCCCAAAATTATTTATTGGATTGATCAGCATTCACCCATGTATTCACTCATACTCTCATTTATTCATTCAGATGGCAAGGGGATTTAAAATGGCACAAGTGTCACCACCCGATCTGTGTCTTAGAAAGAGCCGCTCTGGCTATTGTGTAGAAAACAGGTTGTAAGCGAAGCGACTGGAGGCCAGTCCT